GCGTGTGCCTGAAGTTTAGCAGGAATTCTGAGCTTGTGCGCCCTGAGTTCCTGACCTTTTCCTTCCCAATTACCCTCCCGAGGCCCCTGCAGCTCCCCTCCATCCTCCGCCCTGAACGCTCCTGCGTGGCTTCCCGACATCCTGCGCCCCTCCGGGCTCCGCTCCCGCCGCTGGGCTTGGTCACGCACCTCCTTCGTTCTTCAGTTCCACACGCCGGCCGTGAGCACGGCAGGAACCGGGGACTCCGCTGGAGCACGCCAGCGACGCCGCCTGGAACGCTAGCGCTGCCGGGCTCTGGGGGGGCCGCCCACGGCTGAAATCAGCCGCTGGGTCCTGCGCGGCTGCCACCTCCACCTCCACCCTCTGGGCCGTCCCGGGTGTTTCTCCAACCCCCGGCCCGCCTGCCGCAGCCACAACATACAGAGCCAGCCGGCAAGCACGCACCCCCTTCCTCCCTCTGTCCCCTCTCACCCCATCCCTGCCCTCGGTCTCCCACAGAATGAACGGTGTGTCCTCCAGGAATGGGTCTGGGGAGAGAGGCCACTCCACTTTTTATATATATTTTTATTGATGTCAGAGAGGAGGGGAGAGGGAGAGAGAGACATCAGTGATGAGAGAGAATCGTTGATCTGCTGCCTCCTGCACGCCCCCGACCGGGGATCGAGCCCACAACCCGGGCATGTGCCCTTGACCGGAATCGAACCCGGGACCCCTCAGTCTGCAGGCCGACACTCTATCCACTGAGCCACACCGCCTAGGGCTCCCTTTCATTCTGTGTGTGGAACTCATGAGTATTTTACTTGGTCCTACAAACCAACCCCCTCCTGACCCCCTAACACACATACACTTACGTCATCAAATGCATTGGCATAAAGTTGTTCATTATATTCTATATCCCTTTTAATATTTATGGAATCCGACTTAATGTGACCTCTCTTCATTCCGACATTGTTAATGAGTGTCTTCTTCGATCCCTTTTCCTGATCCATTTGGCTGGTTCTATGAGTCTACTGATCTCCTCAAAGAAGCAGCTTTTAGTTCCAATGATTTTTCTCTACTGGTTTCCTACTTGACCGATTTCCACTTTGATCTGTATGATGTCTGTCTTTCTTTCTCTAGGTTTAACCTGTTCTTCTCTTTCCATCCCTTAAGGCAGAAGTGGGGTCCCGGCCTGAGGCCCTGCTTTTCCTCGGCAGGAGTCTCACGCGCAGAGGCAGCCCACAGTCGGGTAAATGGTATTTTCGTTCCGTGCAAAATGCTTGATCATCTGCCTTTTGGCGCCTCCTTTGATCCCTGGCTTATTCAGAAGTGACTTCGTGTCCAAATATTTGAGGATTTTCCCAAAGATCTACTGGGTTCTTTCTTCTGGTTCCATTCCTCTGTGGCCTGCGGGCATGTTCAGTGCGATCCGCATCCCTTTAAACAGCGTGAGAATTGCTGGATGTCCAAGCGCGTGTTCCGTGTGCGCCTCAGGCAGGTCTCCGCTGCCGCTGGCGGATGCTCCGAGTGTGGGCCACCTGGCTCACGGCCCACCTGGCTGGTCTGCTTCTCACATGTTCCACCCAAGCTTCAGCGAACGCGTGAGACCTCTGACTGTATCGGTGAGTCGGTCCATTTCCCTCTTGACCGCTGTGTTTTCTTCGTCTCCGTGAAGCTGCTACCGGACAGGCAAATGTTCAGCCTTGCCATGCCCTCTTCATCATTTCAGATAAACTTCCTTGTCCTCAGAACGCCTCTCTGCAGAATAAAATCTTCCACAATGTCTAACCATTCATTCTATTTGGTGCTTAATCCATCCAGATATTATAGTGTTTTATACCTTTTTTTCTCAATAGCTTCTGTATCTCTACTTAACTTTAAGAATAGGATTCAATTATAACAGTTTTAATGTCCTTCTTTGCCAATTCTAGTATCTGTGTCAGTTCTAAGTTTCAATTGATTGATTGATTATTCTTCTCATGAGTCATGTTTTCCTGCCTGTTTGTACATTTTTTAATTTCAGAGAGGAATGGTTAGGGAGAGAGAGACAGAAACATCAATGATGAGAGAGAGTCACAGATCGGCTGCCTCCTGCACGCCCCCCACTGGGGATTTAGCCCACAACCCGGGCATGCAAACTGGTGGCCTCTTATTTCCTGGGTCATCACTCAACCACCGAGCCACACCCGGCCAGGCTATACTGGTAACTTCTGACTGAATGTCAGACATGGTGGATTTTACCTTGTTAAGTGTTGGAAAGTGTTCTTTCTGTGACTCTGACCCAGCTCTGTTATGGGATGCATCACAGTTACCAGGAAACTTTCAGACTTCCATCTTAGTACGACTAAAACAGTGATGGCGAACCTATGACACACGTGTCAGAGGTGACACGCGAACTCATTTTTTTGGTTGATTTTTCTTTGTTAAATGGCATTTAAATATATAAAATAAATATCAAAAATATAAGTCTTTGTTTTACTATAGTTGCAAATATCAAAAAATTTCTATATGTGACATGGCACCAGAGTTAAGTTAGGGTTTTTCAAAATGCTGACACGCCGAGCTCAAAAGGTTCGCCATCACTGGACTAAGAGGTGGGTCCAGAGCAGTGCTCAGCTCAGGGCTGACCCCCAAGGCAAGACCGTCCTGCATGCCCTCCCCGTCCCTCGTAAACCCCGACGTTTCCAGTCCAGCCGTGGAGACAGGTAGAGCCCAGCCCCGTGTGAGACCGGCCCTGCTCCCTCCAGCCTGCCAGACGGCTCTTCCCCGAGCTCTGAGTTTCCTCACGTGCATGCACTGAATACCTTTTCTTTTAAATTGATTTTAGAGAGAGGAAGGGAGGGAGAAACATCAATGTGAAAGAGAAACACTGGCTGCTTCCTGCACGTGCCCCAACAGGGGATCAAACCCGCAACCTGGGCCTGGGCCCTGACCAGGAACCGAACCAGCCACCTTCCCGTGTAAGAGACGATGCTCCAACCCACTGAGCCACACGGCCAGGGTGGAAGACCTCTGGATACTCCAGGGAGGCCTCTGCCGATCTCTCCTCTCCTGTGCTGTGTCCTGTGAACTCGGGCTGCCCTGGCCTCCCCTCCCAGCTCCCCTGGCCCGTGCGGGGAGTCCCCCGAGCCCACCTCAGCTCCCGCTAGACCTACGCCGCAGCCGGGAACCTCCAGGGCAATGAGCTGGGCAAACGTGGGACCATCTAGTTTGTTTCTCATCTCTCAGGGACGACTCACCATTCTTTATTTTATTTATTTTTGTTTTGTTTTGTTTTGTTTTTTTAGAGAGAGTGGAGGAGAAAGGGAAAGACAGAGAGAAACATTGATGTGAGAGAAACACATCGAATGGTCGCCTCCTGCACATGCCCTGACCAGGGCCAGGGCCGGGGAGGAGCCTGTAACCGAGGTACGTGCCCTTGACCAGAATCGAACCCAGGACCCTTTGGTCCACAGGCCGACACTCTATCCACTGAGCCAAACTGGCCAGGGCAACTCACCATTTTTAAAAAAATATTTCCTTATTGGATTTATTGGGTCTCTATTGGTTAATGAAATTGCAGAAGTTTCAAGTGTTCAATTCTATACGACATCATCGGTATAGTGCCGGGGTCGGCAAACTGCGGCTCTCGAGCCACATGCGGCTCTTTGGCCCCTTGAGTGTGGCTCTTCCACAAAATACCACATGCGGGCGCACGTACAGTCAACTGAAACTTCGTGGCCCATGCGCAGAAGTCGGTTTTCGGCCTGGGAGAGTCTATTTTGAAGGAGTACTGTTGATATTTGGCTCTGTTGACTAACGAGTTTGCCGACCACTGGTATAGGGTATGGTGTGCTCACCACCCAAAGTCTCGTCTCCTCCCCCCTCCATGTATCTCCTCGCCACCCTCTTCTCCCCGCCCCCTCTTCCCCCTGGAATCCGTTTTCAAGGGGAATAACCTTGCTGACTCTCACTCTCTTGAAAACGAGTTGTCCGTTGTGTTTCTGGTGTGTGTTTGTGTTGTGTGTGCAGCGACTGCAGGTGGAGGGAAATCCGGTTCGCAGAATCAGATTCCTCACTCTCACCGCTTCCTCACGCATTTCAGTGCCTCCCTCTCCCCTGACACCCCCCGCCCCCCGCACACCTCCGTCCACCTGCACGCTGATGGGGCACCTCTCCCCACAAAAACAATGCCCTTAGCACCACCTTCTCTGCTGCTGTCCACCTTCTCGAAAGGGGAATCTAGGTGCAATGTTGGCCAAGGGGCCGGAGAGTGAGGACAGTCCTGCCTCGTCCCCGCCGCTTGCTCACCACCCATCCTGCCTCAGGCTCACTCCCACGCTGACCGTCTCCTGACACGTCTACCCTCCGTCACTCATGGCCACACCGTCCCCACGGGCAACGGCCTCTCACCCCTCAGACTGTCTGTACGTTCACCTCTGGCCCTGAGCCTCCTGTTCGTATTGACGTGCCCAGCCGTCCAGCCTGCCCGGTTACACTCCCGTCCAACTCAGGCGCCAGCGTGGGTGCTGCCAAGGGCGGTGACATGGCCCGTGTTGTTCACTGGCACATCCTCAGCGCCCGCATCAGGGGCAGCCACACAACAGGCACCTGATAAATGCAGAGAACGAACGGACAACCTCCCACCTCCCCTGGCAACGCCTCGTCCGTCAGCTCCTCCCGTCAGCTCCTCCCGACAGCTCTGTGCTCCCCTCCCGCCCGGGTCCCCCGTCCTCTCCCCCTCACACTCCCCTTTCCCGCTTCGGTCAGAGTGTGAGAGGAGGCATCTGGGAGGACAACAGCGCCAGGTCAGCCTGGACACCTGGGCCGGACCAGGTTCAGGGTCACCTTGCAGATGCTTCCCCGAGCGAGACCTCCTCGTGGCACTGGAATGGCCACCGAGAGGGACAGAGGGCGCAGTGCCAGGTCCCTGACCCCCTCACATCTGCGCTGAGCGCCAGAGGGAGCAGCTGAAAATAACACAGATAAACAGAACCACCTGGCCCCCCACGGGCCACCGTCGGGGGGGGGGCGGCACTCACCGGTGGTGGACACGACGTGCTCGGGGCTCTCGCTGCAGAGCTGGGACAGCAGGCTGGTCTTGCCGGAGCCCGTGAGGCCTATGCAGACGAGGTCATACTCGGGGCGCGCGGGCGGGGGTCCCTTGCAGCACAGCGCTCGGAAACACTGCGGAGGAAGCGGCAGCTCGTTAGGGGAGCGCGGACAGCGCCCCGCAGCAGCAAGTGGCTCCAAGGAGCCATTCGAGGACCTGCTACTGACGAGGAGAGGGGACTCGGGAGCGGAGACCCAGAGGACAGCACCACGACCACAGACCCGTTTCCACCCCGGGAGCCACGCAGACGCGCCCTCCCGCTCCCTCCCGAGCAGTTGGTGCACCGAGGGGCGCGGCACCGCCCCTGGCTCCCCCAGGACCGCACCCTGCACCTGCCCACGAGGACATCTGGCCGGGAGACACCGGGCCCCGCCTGGCCTCTGACCCCCAGCGTCTCCAGGTCCAACAGCGGCTGCGCCTGTTCCACTTACAGATGAAGACACACGATCCACGTGCATATGTCTGCTGTGGGTGCATGCATGCTGTGTGTGAGATGTGTGTGCGTGCATGATGATATATGTGTGTATGCACAGGTGCACGATGTATGTATTCCCCCAAAGAGCACCCCTGGCGGGGGGGACAGGGATTTCATGCTCAGCAGCAGAGACAGGGCCGGGGCCGCCTCTGAGGCTGAAGGGGAGAGCGTGGAGCTGAGCTGCCAGGGCCCACGTGACCCCAGCCTGCCCGCGGCCATCCTGGCCAGAGGCGCTCACGTCCTGGTCTTAGAGTTCAAGAGACTCGAACCCAAGACCCTCATCTATTCCTGGCGGCCCAGACTGTCCGGGCTTCTCATCCTGGAACTAGGCCCCGGGGGTGAGTTTGGGTTTTTGTGTGTTTTCTTTTTAAGTAAGAAGCTCAGAAAGGAAGCTAAGGAGAAGTCACTGCCTGTTTGTGAGACGTAATTCTTCTCTCATCATGCCCGAGTGGAATATCTAGTGTAAATTCCAACTTTCATAAGGACAGAATCACCCAATAAAGCGGCAGCAGCCCAGGCATGACCGACTGTAATGGGAGCCATGCTTCCTCCGCATACCCATGCGCACACGGGCCAGGCCCCCCGCTCGTCTCAGCCGCGCACGGCTCTTCTCCAACGAGCGAAGGGAGACGAATGGAGGTGAGGGCGAACGAGACATTAACACATTTCTTATTAAACCTCTTTTTTGTTCACTATCTGAAGAGAGCGCCCTAAGCAGAAAGCAGGGCATTAAAATGTCAGCACGGTTCACACTCCTTAACCAGGCCTTTCCACGCTCCGTGCGCTGAGAGTCCGGGAGCAAGGCCCTTTACGAGCGGGGCCCAGGCAGACCTTGAGGAGGTGTAGGTGTCACCTGACCCCCGGGAGGGTCCCCCGGCAGGTTCCCTGCTCTCAGTGCCTTGGGAACTGGGTGGGGAGCCTCGTAACAGCCGAGAGGAAAACAAGCTCATCGAACTAAACTGGCTCCTCTGGTCTCTCCCTGGAAACCCCACTGCCTGTTCTGGGAGACAGCAGAGCATCCTCTCACTTCAACTCCAGGCTCCGAAGAAACGGTGCTCGGTCTGCACATCCATCAGCCCCCAACTCCTGTGACCCTGCCGGCCGGCCTCGGCCACTCCCCCTCCCGCCCCCTCCCGCCCCCTCCCGCCGAGGGCCTCCGCTCAGCCACTGCCTCTGGGGGGACACTGTCTGTCGGCTACCTGTGGCCTCGGAGGGTCTCATCCGACTCCAACCACCTCCCAAATGCCAACATGACCTTCCCACTGCCTGTCCAGGCCCTCCCTTGACGGAGGGTCTGCCCGCGGCCGGCAGGGCTGTCCGGGTAAGGCCGGCTCCTTATCTAGGCAGATACCCTCTTTATGGCCGGCCTTTCCCGGCATCCCTGGCCTCCCAGGGATCACACGAGATAACGCCCGTCTTCTGGGAAAGCACCAAAAACAGCCTCGGGCGCGTAAAACGCAACTCGTGATAGTTGTGATGACTTTCCCGCCAGACCCGTGGCCCCACGCCCATCGCGTGTGCAGTCCCTGACCCAGTCCCTTCCTCGCTCCACAAGGTGCGTCCTCAAGTCCCGGGGCTCTACCTGCTGACAGAGCTGACAAGGACGAATGTGTGCCAGGCTGCGCCCGGAGCCCGGAGCCAGAGACCGCCGGGACGACACCCCAACTCGCCTCGCACATCCGCGCACGTGCCAGACGGACCCCCACGGCAGAGCCTGTCCCCAGCGGCGAGGAGAGGCAGAGCGGGCAGCTGGGGCCGGAGCCACCGCTGTGCTGCACGGGCAGCTGCCGGCCAGCCTGCTCCTCGCTCCCCGGCTGCGGCAACGTGAGGGGACAGGTGAGGCTCATGAGAGACGCACCCGCCCCCAAGGCCAAGTGCAGAGCGAAGGCCAACGCAGACGTGCGCTCTCGGGGTCCTCTGAGGCCCCGACTCACCCTATCAGCTCCCAACACGGCTCGAAAAGGGCACATGGGTCCAACTCGTGCTGTGAATGCCTTTCCTGTGGCTTTATTCTCTTCCCGGGACTCACACAGGCACCAGGGCCTAGACCAGTGATGGCGAACCTTTTGAGCTTGGCGTGTCAGCATTTTGAAAAACCCTAACTTAACTCTGGTGCCGTGTCACATAGAGAAATTTTTTGATCTTTGCAACCATAGTAAAACAAAGACTTATATTTTTGATATTTATTTTGTATATTTAAATGCCATTTAACAAAGAAAAGTCCATCAAAAAAATGAGTTCACGGGTCACCTCTGACACACGTGTCATAGGTTCGCCATCACTGGCTTAGGCTGTGCTCCTAGGCAAACTACAGAGACAACGCAGGCACCTGAACAGGCAGGCGGGGGGGGGGGGGGGGGGGGGCGGGGGGTGGCCTCCGGGGCCTGACACTGAATTGTCCTCCAATGAGCTAGTTAATGTTACGGCAGGAAGGAGGGCAGAGGGAAGCCAGACCTGTGGGCTTGGTCCCCTGGGAAGCTCAGCCTCACACAGCATTGGGCTCCAGGGGTGAGCATCCCCCCCCAGTGCCGGATTGTTGGGGGATGGAGTGGGGGCAGATGCACAGAAGTCCTGGGCGCACGGGGAGGGGCCTGCCTGTCAGTCTAGCCTGGGGAACAAGGGATTGGCTGGGGGTGGCCCCAGCAGAAGCGCGTGAAATCTGGGAAAGTTTACTGGTTAGTTTGAAGAATCTCCAGGTTAAAATCCCCAGACAGCCGGGCCGGTGCAGCTTACCGGTGAGCGTCAACCCAAGAACCAAGAGGGTCACCGTTTGATTCCCAGTCAGGGCACGTGCCCGGGTGGTGGGCTCGATCCCCAGTGGGGGGCATGCAGGAGGCAGCCGGTCGATGAGTCTCTCTCATCATTGATGCTTCTATCTCTCTCTCCCTCTCCCTTCCTCTCTGAAAGCAATATATATATTTGTTTTTCAAGTTAAGACTTGGGATCCGGGCACTGCCGCTGCAGGGAGGGCGGGAGGGAGGGCAGATGGAGCACGGAGATCGGGGCCAGGGAACCAAGTGGGAGGCAGGCGGCGGTGCGTGCGAGGCAGCCCTGGCACCCCACTAACGTCTGTTTTGAGGACAAATGAAAGGTAAGTGCTGCACGAGGGAGGAGGTATCAACGAGACAAAGCCCTGGTCACTGCGATCAGAGCACAGGCAGCACTGTATTTGGAGAGGCTGGCGATCCTGGCCATCTTCCTGAGGCGGTGGAGGCGGAGATCCAGGGGTGCCTGTGTGCCCACTGAAAGGGCGAGGAGTACGCCCTCCACCTTGCCCCAGGGTAAGGGCTATGCCCTTCATCTTAACTTGGCCATGTGCTCAGCAAGCTTCTTCCCGGAAGATAGTCAAGGGAAGTGCACGCCATCACTATGACCACATCCTGTGTACTCACGCCTGGCCAATCAGCAGGGCCCACAGTTCTTTCTCCTCCCCTTACCCCAAACCCCTATAAAACCTCTCTCCACACAGAGTTCTCTCTCTCTGGGCCACTGGAGCTTACCGTTGCATCGGTGAGTGTGGCAGGGGAGCCAAACCTAGGTTTGAAATGAATGACTCTTTGCTTTTGTATCGGACTCGCTGGCTCCCTGTGGGTTCTTGGGAATCATGAAATCTGGGCACAACATTTGGGGGCTCGTCTGGGATTCCCAAGACCATTGAGGGACCCCCGATCCGAAGAGTCTGACTGACCGCGGTATGTGTGTGTCGTTGTATGTTCTGTTCAGTGTGAGCTCGTTTCTGGAATCTGTAATTGCCTGAGGGGTCTAGGCGGACGCGCCGTGAACGACCACAGGCGGGGGAGAGTTGGAAGACGTTCCGCTCCCCAGGAGGGATGGATATGCCCCTCACCCCAGGAGGGATGGATATGCCCCTCACCCCAGGAGGGATGGATATGCCCCTCACGAGGGATAGATATACCCCTCGCGGATTTGAGACGAGGCAGGTCGCTCCTGCCGGTTTGGCGTAAGGCCAACGTCTAGTTGCTTCCATGGAGTTGGAAGCCTGTATTTTCGGGCCCTGTTTAGTGTTCTGTGTTTGTACTGGATGGATGTTATGGGATGGACTCAGACTGCTCCTTTGGGTATTGTGATTGATCATTTCAAGGAGATTGGGGGAGGCTTTAGAGCTCCCTCAGGAGTTGGGAAGTTGTTAGGAATTGAATGGATTGTTTAAAGTCTGAATGAATGTCTGGTGAAAGTGTGGGAGTGTGGAGGGAGGGGAATTGCCCTCCCCCCTCCTTTGTGTGGTGGTCGGGTGGCCGCCTGAGTGAAGGTCTGTGGAAACAGGTCACCCCCTCCCCAAGTAAATGCGTCTGGGATTTCTGTGCACATGTTAGGAGAAAAGCTGGCTTAAAACTAATGTGTGCACCGTCCATTTTCGGATAGGGTTTTGGGCTAGCGTATTTAATTTGCTACCTAAGATTTTAAAAAGTTCTGCAATATAATGTTGGCCATCTATCTTTTAGGGGTTTTGGTTTGCTCTTCCCTTGTTTATTGTGAGAATGAGGAAATCATCTTTTCTGTCAGAGAACAGTTTAGACCGCCACAATGTTGAGCTGCCTGACTTGGCAGCCACCATGTTGGCCGCATGGCATGCCGTGC